AGGGAGGAGACACGGAGCCCGGGGCCGGGGCCAGTGGGTGCCTGCTGCCCGGGCCCCCAGCTCCGGCCTTTGTCAGGGGCCACCCCCACCCCATCCCACCATCGGGGCTCCGAGATCTCGCTGCCGCTCTGCCAGCCTGCCCTGGTGCGTGGGCCGTGGGTTCTCCTGGCTCACTGCGCACAAAGGGCTTTGCTGACGGCGGGCAGGCCGGACCTGGCTCCAAGCCCCGCTGTCCCCCCCTGAGTGTGTCCCAGGGGTCTTTCCTGCCCTGGGCCCGGCGGGCCAACCGGGCACGTCTCTCCCTTCTTCTGGTGTGGCCTTCGGCAGGAGTTGCTAGGCCGGAGGAGCTGGCAGAGTGGCCCCCCTGCAGGCCCCTCCCCGCCTCTGGGAAGCTGGAAGCTCAGAGCCCCGGCGACAAAGGCCTGTCTCATGGTGTCCGGGCCCGGGGCCCCAGCCTCAGCAGGGGGCAATGCTGGAGGCCAGGCTGGCTGATGGCAGTCCCGCGTGGCATTCAGGGCCCCCACCCCCTGCTGACTGGCCTGCCCCATCAGTCACAGCAGCAGCTGGGCCTTGGGGTTGTGGGGGGTGCCAGGCAGGGGCCTTGGGGGCCCCGGGAGGTCGGCGGGGGTCGGGGTGCAGCTCACAAACATTCCTCCACCCGCCCGCTCTCTATCCTTTTCCTTCAGCCCCGGCCCCGGAGAAGCCGGGGGAGCAGGCGGGGCACCTGGCGCCCGTCTGCATCCAGAGCCGGGCCCCTGGTGGCCTGAGTGCTTGTCCTGGCTTCTGTGTCCCTTAGTGCTGACAGCGCCGGCACCTCTGCTCCCAGCAGAAAACCAGCAATAACAGGCCGTCCAGGCAGGTACGGAGCCCCCGGAGGTGTGACAGGAAGCGTGACGAGGCTTCGCCTGGCCAGTCCGCTCTGGACCCTGAGCACCTCTGGTCCCTACAGCCTCGGACCGTCACTGAGGCTCCAGGGGCCTGGGTGTGGGGGCAGGAGCTCCCAGAGGGGCCGGACTCCTGGGGACCTGGTCCCACATCACCCCCTAATCACTCAGGACGGCATCGGCCAGGCCCTGAAGGGTCACCAACCCCCAACTTCTGTGGAGTGAACACTGAGCACCTGGCCCACCCCACCCGCCACAACCGCACAGTCATGCCCGGACCCTACCGCTGGCCAAGGCGCCCGGAGCCCTGCTAGCCAGCTACCCCTCACCGCCCAGGCCCCCCCGAGCCCCGTCTCCATCCCTCCCCCACGGAACATGCAGGGAGAGGCAGGGGGATCAGGAGGCAGGCCCAGTGTGGGGCCAGCACAATCCCTGCCACGTGCCTGTCCCCTTGGCCCCCTCCGTGGCCAGGCAGTGTGCCTGCTGCCGTTCTGGGTCCCTTTGGTGGAGCAGAGGTCGCAGCTGACCACCTCCCCTCCCGTGAGACTTCCAGCATGAGCCACCCACGTCGGGGACAACGACCTGGGAAAGGGACGGGCCTCGGCGCAGGCAGGACGTTCCCGTCAGGAGTGGCGTGAAGACAGCCACGCCGGCTGCGTGTGCCCTGTTCTGGTGCCAGCGGAGCCTCGAGGCGCGGGACCCGGCGTGGAAGGTGAACGAGTGCAGCTGGGCACTGGAGGCAGCCCCGCTCGGTGTCCACGTGGGAGCCGAAATCGCGCCCCTGTTCCTGTCCACTCTTCCTCACATGGAACTTGCAGGTTTAAAGCACCGTAAGCCAAGGCGCAGACCATGCCAAAAAGAGAAGAGCTTTGTTTTTTCTCCAGTTCGTGAACCGGGGTGCTGCATTCTCACTTGCCCCAGGACCCAGAGAGTACGGAGCCGGGCGAGGGGAAGGGCTGTGTGGACTTGCCCCCCCCCCCACAGACCTGTGGACTGCAGCGCCCCTCCCCCACGTGAGACCGAAGCCAGGATGAGCTGTCCCGGGCACCAGTGAGAGGGCCTCTAGCAGGGGCAGGGCAGGTCCCCGGTGGCCCCGGAGCTGACCTGGGTCAGACAAGCGCCCCCCACGGCACGGCCTGGACCGGGGGCCCGGGCTGCCCCACTCAGCCCTCAGCCATGTCCCAGGACCTGGCGTGTCCATCAGGGCCGGACTGTCTGCCTGACTCAGACAGTGCTGGGGGTTGGATCCGTGTCCCCACCCCCACCCCCGCCACAGAGTGTGGACTCTGGGAGTGTGGGCATCCCCTCCTGCACACCGGTGCACCCTGAGTGCTGGTACCGGGGCGCCCAGAACAGCATGGAATGCATGTGGGGGACTGTGACGGGCCAGCGGAGGCCAGCCCCAGTGGGCAGGGCCCTGTGCTTGTGCTGGCCTGCAGCGGGGCAGCCCTGGGTCCTCACGGCCCCCGGAGTAGACAGACAAAGGGGACCTGTCCATGTCCTGACATGTTTGGGACAAAGGGTTGGGGCATGCTCTGTCCGCAGGGCGTTTTGGGGATCCCACAGTGTCCAGACAAGAGCAAAGCACCCCGAGCGCCCCCCAGGGTTCTGGTCATCGGGGCTGTGCCACCCCCCCCACCCACAAGTCTCACTCTGTGCAGTCCCTGCCATAGTGACCTCAGCCCCACAGCCTCACCCCAAGGCCGAAAGTACCATCTCCCCAGCCTGTGGATTGGGGTTTCCCAGTGTTCCCGACCTAGCACCACCCTCCAGCACCTGGTCACCTTCCACTTGGAACCGGCTTCTAGGTGGGGACAAGGCCTGGGCCACCTGGGCCAGGTGGGGCTCTGTCCCTGTGAGCAGGTCTGGGAGGCCGGCTGGCTCAGGCACCCTCCTCAGGCAGCCCCGCTCCCTGGAAGGGGACTCTGGAGGGACTTAGGAACGCAGGATCTGTGACCTCAGGCCCTTCGTCCCTGGGGGCCAACATTCCGATGCTGTAATTGGGGAGGGGAGCGGGAGGCTGCGGGGGATGCTCCAACGAGGGTGACAGGACCGGTGTCCTGGCTGGTCACCAAGCACAGGTCACCCCTCTCAAAAAGCACCCTCACTTGGACAACTAGCGACCTGCCATGGGGACATGTCACACCCTCCGAAGTGCAGGGACCCAAACCAAGCAGGCGCCTGATTGCGTGTCTGCTCCTGAACCCCGCCCCCGACTCCCAGAAGGAGGACGCAGGGACAGGCAGGCGGCATCTAACACAAGGAAGGGAGGTGCTGTCCGCGGCCCCCAGGGCCCGGGAAAAGCCCCAGAACCAGCGTCCTGTTCGTTCAGCCCAGAAATGCTTACGGCTGAGAGGCTTCGGCACGTGGCCCTGGGCCGGTCCTGGGTCCGTAAACACCCGGACCCCCAGAGGCCCATGCCGCTGGCTGGCCATTTGATGGAATGAAGGGACAGGTGTCCGTCTGGGGGAGAGCTGTATCGGGGGACCAGTATTTGAGGACTCATGGATGTGTCCATACGGTGTCTGGGATCTGCTTCAAAACCCTGTGCGGAAGGGCCGCCGCCGCTCGGGGTGGGGGAGCTCCTCAGAGGGTCCCCGGCCCCGCAGGCCTGTCAGCGGCCTTCAGACCGACACGGGACACTGCTTGTGGGTTGGATCCCGTGTTCCCACTGGGCTGTGGGCCCCAGGAGGGCAGGGCTCCCGCAGACGCAATCCCTGCCGCAGGAAAGGTCCAGAATATCTGCGGGTCTGGAATTCTGTGTGATAAGACGGCAGAGTTTCGCCCGCAGGGGGCGTGGTCCTTCCCTCCCCCAAAGCCAGGTATGCTCCCACCCTGCCCACCTCCACCTCTCCCTGGGCTCTGGGTCAGAGGTTGCAGCAAAGCCCGGGTCCTGAGGCTGGGTGAGGTCCCTGGGAGAAGGCTGGGGGGGCCTTGTGTGGATCACGCCCCCTTCTGTCCCCTGGAGGGGGCCCGTCCCCTCCACCCTGCAGCCCCCGAGCTGTGGCGGGTCTCCTGACCCCAGCTGAGGCCTCACCAGACCCAGGACCCTGTGGCCATGCTTCCCAGAAGGCTTCTGCTCTTTGCCAGCCTCCCAGGGTTGCCACGGCTTTGAACCAACCACTCCCTGCTGAAGGGGTGCCTGGGGATCCCCACCAGCCCCGCCCCCACCCCTGTAATAAAAGGCAGCTTTGGGTGCAGCCTAGGCTTCAAAGCTGCCGAGGCCCAGGTCAAAGGTAGAGCTGAGCAATGTCTCCGAGGGCCCTCTGAGCTGGGGGTGCTGGGGGTGGGGGCCCGCCTGTCCCTCTCCAGGGTGCACTCGTGCGCCCATGCCAGGGGCAGCCGGGGCCTTGCCGCCGGCACCCTGGTCCCCGGGGCCGGCACCACACATGCAGGCTGGGGCTCCAGGCAGAGCGGCAGGGAGCCTGGGACAGGGTGCCCACCCCTTCTCCTAAGTCCCACTGCACCCTGCAGGCTGGCTCTGCTGCCATCCCCACACGCAGGCTGATCACTGGCCCAGGGTCGCCCGACGGGTGGCAGGACTCACAGCTCTGAACCCGGGGCAGCCCAGCCCGGGGCCCCAGACCCCCGTGCTGGTCAGCGGCCTCCAGGCCTCAACTTCCCACCTGTGAAGGGGCCCTGCCTGGACCACCCCCAGCCCGCTAACACCTGCAGGAAGCCCCCGGCCTCACAAGGTGCCCTGGTTTCTTCCACACCAGCTGGTGTCCAGACCTCACACCCCCACTCCCACCCTATGGTGGCAGGAGAAGCCTGGGGAGAAGTGACCCCAGGACCAGGTCCCCAGGGGCCGGAGTCTGGGCCTCCACCCTCCCACCCATGCCAAACCCTCCTCTGGGAGATGGGGGGGGGGGCTGAGGGTCTGGAGAGGGCAGCCCCCCAGCACTGCTAAGACACAGCCCTGGGTTACTTAGAGTCCACCTTCCCTCTGAGGGTTTCCGACCCAGGCCTCTGCCCAGCGGCTGAGCTGCCCGGCATCAACCCGGGGCTGCCTGGGGCCCCCTTCCCGGCACCCAGCCCCTCAGGGGCTACGGCGTCCAGATCGTGGCCAGGTAGAAAAACTCCAGGTAGTGGGCGTGAGGCGGGGTAGACCATCTTTATTGTGTCCCGAGTTACGGAGTCTTTGCGTGAAAATGTACTGTCAGCTCACCAGCGACCCGGGGAGTGCAGGGTCAGCGTGGGAAGGCGGGTGCTCTGTGTCCTCAAAACCTCGTCCCCCTTCGGAAAACGTCCCAGTGTGAGTATGGGCGCCTCGGCCCCAGTGCAGGGGGCGCCGGCAGTCAGTGTCCGAGGTCCTTGCCAACCGGGGCTAGGCAGGCCGTGCAAACTGGCACGTGGTCAAGCTGGACCACTCGGGGAGCCTCATCCTTTGGGGTCCCGGCCTGGCGGTGGCTTGGCTGGCCAGGCCGCGGGGACGGAGGCGCGGGCTGCCCACCATGCTGGTTCCCAGGGGATGGGTGCACTCGCCCCTCCGCATCCAGGGCTCAGCTGCCGGAGGCAAGAGAGACAAGAGCTCAGGTTAGTGCGGGATGCGGCCCTGCCTCCACCTCCCACACTCGAAGGCGGCAGTTTCGTTTGTTTGGTTGGTTTTGGAGCTCGACTCCGTGGGTGCCTCGGCGTCGGTCTGCAGCCCCAGCCAGGGCGGGGGGGCAGGGCAGCGCTCCCGCCGCAGTGAGTCAGGGCCGCAGCGCCGACTCATCTCTGCCACCCGTCCCAGGCGCGCGATTTGCAATGCAAACTCACCCCGCCTCCCAGCACCCTAATCTGCCCGGGGATCCGCTTGCACTCCGGGCCTCACCCGCCGGAGGGCCGCGCCCCCCGCCGCCCCACGTCCTCCCTCCCCCTTCCGCGGTGCGGCAGCGAGAGGAAGTTTTGCAATCCCGGACAAACAACGCTGGTCTTGCTCAGGCTTGAAAAAGCTGAGGGAAAATGAAGCGTGAGCGAAATCGAAGCTACCCCCGGGCCGGGCCCTGGACTCGGCTGGCTGTCTGGGAAACGGGCGGAGACGCCGGGGGTCCTGTCTACTCCAGCGCTCCAGGCCGCCCTGGCCTCTGACCCCCACTCTTCCCGGCCGCCCGGCGTTTACCTCGCGGAGCGGGGCGCTCAGTAGCCTCCTAACCAGCCGGAGAAGTCGAGCAGCTCCCGCTCCCCGGGGCTCAGCGCGGCATCGCAGCCGCTGTCGTCGGACGAGTAGGCGGAGCGCGGGGAGCCGGGCTCCGAGCTGCCCCCGCGGCCAGGGGACGAAGAGGTGCAGGAGGGCGAAGCGGCGTCCGCGGGAGTCCCCGGCGACCCGCGGGGCGCTGGGGGGCGCGCGGTTGGCGCCAGCAGACTCCCAGCCAGCGCGGCGCGCACGGAGTCGTGCTCAGCCAGCAGGCGCTGCAGCGCGCCGATGTACTCCACAGCCGAGCGCAGCGTCTCCACCTTGCTTAGCTTCTTGCTGGCGCCGCCGTGCGGCACGTGCTGCCGCAGCGCCTGGAACCCCAAGTTTACCAACTTCACGCGGTTGCGCTCGCGCTCGTTTCGCCGCGCCACGGCCGCCGCACCGCCCCCAGTCTCCTCCGCGCACGGCCGCCGCCGCCGGCTACAGCGCAACAGCTCCGGGGACGCGGGTCGCCGCCGAGCGGCGCAGCCGCCGGAGACGCCAGGCGCGGGGGGCGCGGGTGGGGGTAGCGCGCCGCTGTCCATCGCGTCCGCATCCACTCGCCCGGAGCCTCCTTGGAGCCCCGCGCACCGCGGGGAGGTGCAGGCCGAAGAGCCGGGGACGGTGGGTCGACGGCAACGCCACAAGGGGGCCTGTGGCACTTGCGTCCCAGGTCTTCAGAAGTCCGGGACGGCGAGCCGCAACAGGTCTAGAAGTTGGGCTGTGCGCGCAGTGGAGCGTGGGGCGCTCGTGTCTAGCGCGTGCAGTCTGACGCTCCCCAGGTCTTCTACACTCAGTGCAGACGGGCCGGTTTTTAAATGTATAGATAACCCTCCTCCGCGCGGCCGCCGCCTCCTTTCTCACGCCCTCCTTCCCTTGCCTCGCCCTCCCGCCACGCTTCGCCCTCCCCCTTGCTAACTCAACTTGCAAAGACCAAGCCGACAGCGCGCCCCCAACCCCATCCCTGGGGAACAGTGCGCAGGTCCGTGGTGCGCCCCCCTTCAGGTGCAGTCCGTAGGTCCCCTGTGGACCCCCGGTCACAGTAGGCGCTCAGTGCGCCCCCCAAGACGCGTTATGCAGGTCCCGTGAGAAACGCCCCCCGCCCACCCCCAGTCGCTGTCAGCAGGTCGCTGGTTGGACTCCCGCCCCCGCCCCATTGCAGTCCACAGGTCTGCGTCAGTCCGGTACTCCCACCCTGGCGCGCAGGCTGTTAGTCCCCGGAGCTGCCAGTCGCCCGCACGCTCAGCGCACGCCGTGGAGTGGGGGGCGTGGCCGCTGGGCCTGCACAGCTGTACCCAAGGCGTGCGAGACCCCTGGGGGCCGCACGCGCGGAGCTGCCGGTGTCCGCATCCCAGTCTCCTGGGGTCGAGAGGCGGAGGCCTGAGTCTCAGCCAATCCCCGGCCGCCCGCCTGTTCACCCAGCAGCTGCGGGCGGGGCCCCACGCCCGGGCCCCCAGGAGGAAGCGCGTACGCTCGGCGCGTGGCTCCGGGGAGCGCCTCTAACAAAGCTTGGCTGCCTCTCCGCCCCTCCCAGTCCCTCCCCCCGCGACCGGGGGGTTCGGGTGCGCGGTGGCGGCACACCCCCAAGCACACCTGTTCCCCCGCCAGCTGCCCACCTGTGTGATTCCTCCACCTGAATGGAAGCGGGCGATGCAGCCCTTCGGGTAGGGCGGAGCCCGAGGAGTACTTGGGACCCGGTGCGCTGGGGTTGGGGGGCGAGGGGAAGTTGGGGTTCAGGTGCCTGGAGTGCTTTCTCCTCAACCTCTGACGCACACTCCCTGCCTGTGGCTTCCGTGCGCCCTGGGCCTGGGGGAGCCCTGAAGCATAGGACCCCTAATCCTAACACTAACCCAGGGCGGTGGTCCACAGACCAGCACCCCCACAAATCCCTTAGGGTCCCGTAGTCCTCCCAAATCTTCCCGCCTTCCCGGTCTCATTTGCCAGGGCCGCACACCTGCCAGGGCCCTCTTTTTTTCTATGTGGCATCAACCCTGGTGGCCGCCCATCCCCAGCTGGGACCCCCTCCCGCTGCCCTAAGGGCTTGGAGGAAGGCTGCCCCGAAGCCGCCTTTTACCAGCTCAGTCCGACTCCCTGGGGAAGTGGGACAAGAGAGTTTCCCTCTGGCGGATGGAGGGGAAATGTTAGGTTTGGAGCAGACACCGCCGAGCTGGTTTTTCCACTAGGGTCACCAGACTCGCCTGGGCCAGGGCCTCTGTGAGTGGAGTGAGGAGCAGACCCCCTCCCCCACCGCCCCGGTGCCCCGCGCCTGGGGCAAGGCAGCTGGGGAGCATTTGCTGCGGCCCCGGTGCCACTGGCTCCCGCCTGCCGGGCTCCTGCAGGGCCCCCCAGGCAGGTTGCCGCCCCGGGGCCGCCTGCCCAGCAGCCTGGGGGTTAGCACCTGCCCGGAATGTGTTGGCCTGGGGCTGCACTGTCTTCTCGGAGCCCTGACTCAGAGAGCGAGGGGTGTGTCCCGAGTGACAGAGTCACACCTCTGGCCAGAAGAGTGATCCAGACAGAAATGGACGCCAGGACTCGGACTCCAGGTGCCTGGCCTTCTTCCCCTCCAGGGCAGGGGCTCTGGCTCCCCTCAGCCTCCCGCATCAGAGGCCCTAGGCCCCACCCTGCAGGTCCCCGGGCCCACCTCAGCCAGGGGCAGAGCCGCCTGTCCTCCTTCCCCTGCCCGGGTGTGAGGAGAGTCCCTGAGTCCTGCCAACAGGGTCCTGAGGGTCCTGGCTGGGCATCCGCTTGGCCCCTGGGACCTGGACACCCTCCTGTCTGCCGCCACGAAGCAGGCCACCTCGGTGCCAGTGGCCCTGATGGTGGCCTGTTATTTCCCAGGGTCCCCAGGGTGGTGGGTGGTGTCCCTCTGCCGCCGAATTCCGCTGGGAGCCTGGCGGGCGACTGGCCCTCCCCGGGTCCTCACCCCGCACGGGGCAGCTGCATCACAGCAGGACAGCACAGGCCCTGCCGGTGCTCACCCTCTCTGAGGTGAGGAGACGGCCAGCAGTGGCCGTGCGGACGGCCGCACAGCCCTGCGAGCGTAGTGACCACCACGCGGTTGTGCTCTCTAAACGGGTGGACTGCACGGTGCGTGTGGACGGCCTCTCGACAAAGCCGATCGAAAGGTCCCAGGCCCGCCGCCTGCGCCCCAGCACCCTCCCTGGGCCGCTGTCCCACCCAGCCTCGGCCCTCCCCTGTGTCTCCTTCCTGAGCTGTCGCTCGGTGCCCCCACCATGTACTCGGAGTGAACCTGACCCCTCTTTCCTGGGGCTGTGACTGCAGTCATGCAGTCCCGCCCGTCCCTCCGTGTCTGGCTTACTCGAAGTCAGCACACTGGCCTCAAGGTCCCCCCACGTGGTAGCAGGCGCACCTACAGCCAGTCTGACTGTGGACCAGCCCCAGTGGGTGTGGCCAGTGGTGACGGTACCGGACACTGCAGGTCTGGATGGAGGGAGTGTCGCAGCTGCGATGCCCCTCTCGGGGCCCGGCTGACCCTGGTGTGGTGGCCCTTCGCAGGGCCGGCCTGTAGCTGGAGGTCACGGAGGTCTGGGCTGCGAGCTCACCCCTCACACCCGCACCCTGGCGTGCTCCATCTGCCGTCACTGTGCAGGGCAGGCCCCAGACGGCCGGGGACAGCCCCGGCGCCTCAGAGCCCGACAAATTACCCAAATTAGCCAGCTCTACACCTGCTCACCCGCTTCCCTCGGAAACCACAGTAAAGGCCCATGTTCTGCCCTCCCTCTGCCTCCTGCACTGCCTGGCGTCCTCATGTGGCCCCGGATGGCGTCACCTGTCCTGGCCTTGGGGACTCTAGCAGACCCTTGGCCAGTGGCAGCCGAGTCCTGACCTCCTGGCCCTGCTGAGAGGTGAATCCTAACCAAACGCACATTTGAAATACGCTTAGCCTCAGGTGACAGGCAAGTAAACTGAGGCCAGAGAGGGGCAGCTGCTTCCTGAAGGCTGGCCCTCAAGCAGGAGAGAGGAGAGGACCAGCCGGGTCCCATGGATTCTGTCTCCCCCTCGTGGCTCCAGCCTGGGCCTCTCACGAGGCTGGGGCCCACAGGGGCTCCCGGGGCTGTGACCCTGTGACCCGGCCAAATCCGCTGAGCAACTGCCCCCCCGGCCTCTGGCTCAGAAGAGGCCGCCCCTACAGGGGTCCACCCCACACTCCCAGGGGCGTGTGAGGCCGTGAAGAAGGTGGACACATTCGAGACGGGGCCAGTCCTCCAGGCCACCCCCTCTGACCCAAGGCACAGGGGCAAGAGTGGCCCCCCGAGTAACTGGGGGTGGAGACGGAAGCCAACAGCTGGTGGGGGCTTCCAGGAACATGCCCACAACCACGGCCCCTTGTGGGGACCAGCCCCTCCGACAGCCTCAGAGCTCGGGCTTCTTACAAAGGAGGCAAAGGGGAAAAGAAGGCTGGAGCGGCCGCCTTCATGTCGGGACAAGGACCTTTCTGAGCAGAGTCGAGTCCCAGGGATAAAGAAGGTCATTTCATGACCATTAAGGGGTCGGTGGAGAGGCTCCGACCGCCCCAGTGTTAGACCTGCAGGTTCCAGGAGGGCGGGACGCCCGCCCTTGCACAGGAGAGGACCGGCGAGCAGAGGCCTTGGGACGCAGAGAGCAGTCACGGTATCTCACTGCGTGTGACGTGCACCCACAAGTTCCTGCACGCGACACACAGGGTCATGACATCCGTGGCATGTAATCACTGTACCCACGTATAATGAGCATCCTTACTTCTCCCTCAAGGGTTTGGGCAAAAAGTGCCCGTGACACAAGGCACGACGTGGCGCATAACGGTGTCATCCAACTGGGCCCGACGTGGAGGTAACAGGAAAGTGCCACTGTTTTAAATGCGCGTGGAACAGTCACCAAATTAAACCATCCGACGAGCCACAAAACAGTCCTTGAAAACTGTAACAGGAGCCAAGCTATGCAAAGTGTATTCTCTGTCTGCCATGGAACTGGGTTAAACTAGCCAGAGAATGATATCTGGAAAATCTCCAAATGCTTAAAAATTTTTTTAAAAAAGGTCAGAATAACCCCTGATCCGAATTTGAGACCACTCACTGAGTGGAGAGGAAAACCCAATGTCTCCAAATGGGGGGAGGCGGGACTTCGAGGGGAGTTTAAAACACTGGGCACGTGAAACAGCTCAAGTCACCGGCTCCAGCCTCCTGGGGGTGGGGTCGGAGAAACAAGAGCAAGTCAAACCCGACGTAAGCAGGAGAGACCCGGACGCGAGAACAGGGGCAGGAGCAGGGCAACGGGAAGCAGGAAACCATCGGCAGCAGTGGGCGGAGTCGAAACCGGGCAGGGAAGTCCGTGGAATCCAGCAGGTTTTCCTGAAGAAAAGGGAACACAAGACGGTAATTACCCACGTCCGGGACGAGGGCGGTGACCGGACAAATGCCGCAGAGAGTGAAGAACAGCGAGAGAATGCCAGGGACTGGATGCCAACGACGTCATCACCGCAGACGAAATAGACTCCTTAACACACACCAATGGCCAAAACTCACTCAAGAAGATACGGGACCTGAGGAATCCGCTGTCTCTTCAGCAAACCAAACGTGTGGCTGGAAGCCTTCCCACCGGGAAGACCGCAGGCCTGGGGGGCGTACCTGGGGGACCCTCCCAAACGGCCGCCGCGAAGTAAAACCGCTGCTACATAGGCTCACTCAGAACCATCGGAGGGCGGAGATGCCTCCCAGCGGGACGACTTTCCTCTGAAATCAGGAACGAGGCAGGGATGTCTCTTCTCGCCACTTCTCCTTAACGCCGTCCTGCGGGTTCCAGCCAGGTCAATAAGGCAAGAAGCAGGGGGGCGGGCCCAGACCGGGCAGAAAGGGGAAAC